CAAGTACAGGTCGGCTCACGCCACCCGCGAGCGCATCCGCGTGGAGGCCTTCAACCTGGCCTTCGCCGAGCTCCGCAAACTGCTGCCCACGCTGCCCCCGGACAAGAAGCTCTCCAAGATCGAGATCCTGCGCCTGGCCATCTGCTACATCTCGTATCTCAACCACGTCCTGGACGTGTAGGGGCGGGCGCGCTGCCGGAGGCTGCGGGTCTGGATGTCGGGGGACCGAGACCGACCCGGGAGACTTGGACCGTGGAAGAAGTTATCAGCGTGTTGCGTTCTCTCGGATCAGCAGGGGGACGAGGGAAGGCTTCCCACTCTGGAAGGTGGGGTTGTCTGGCAAGCTGTGGGGCTTGCAGGGGGTATTTCCCAGGCCGGCGGACCTCCGGAGGGCACTGGAGATGGGCCGCCCCCAGGCCTCCCCTCCCTGCGTTAGGATCCCTTTAAGGGTGTTTCCTTTAGCTCACTGGAGACTTGGAGTTCTCCTTAGTTTATCTCCCACGAATCTTCCAAGTTTTGAAAAAATGAGGGCAGAAACTCCGAGTATAGGCTCATAACTTTAGCCGATCTGGATTTTTCTAATTGACAAATCACCAAACATCTGGAGGGGAAGGGAGGGAATGTCTTCCAGGGTAGAGATTTTAAGTGGAACAGGAAATTTTCTATTCAGATGCAAAAAGAAAGATTAGATTAGAAACCAACTACCACAGACAAGCCCTACTGCATACTTGGTAAGCTCAAAAAGATACAGTGAGAACAGGCAGACACAGTGTGGGACGATATGAGCTTGGTGGGAACTGAACCCTGAAGTATGACTCTAATGTAGACAGGAAAATCCATATTTAAATGGAAAACTTAATATCTGACTGCGTTTTCAGGCAAAGTGCCCCTTTATATATCCAAAAACATCTATTCGTGACCTTAAACGCGTGGACCCATAGGTGCAGTTAGAAAAAGACTACCTATTTTTATTTATGTTAGAAGGAGTAGAGTATTTTTTCCAAGACATTTATTTTTCAGAGTGGTGATAACTTTACTTTGGATACTCTGTGCCAATTAATTTATAGTCACGTGTTTACACTTTTTCCTGTGGAATAATACTTTTTACGTGTTTGTTGAGATTATGCTGTGGTCTTTCTTTTGGCTCTAATTATATTGCACTTGCATAACAAATTTCCCACTTCTCCCTGTTTCTAAACAAATTTTATATATTAAGATGTTTGTTTGTGGTGAGATCAGCAACACTAACACTTCACTATTATAGTTTTTTAAAAAAGTAAGTGTTGTTATTATCTGTAGTTATGTCTGAAAAGTACTTTACAAACTGTTTATAAGGAAGTAGCTTCTTTGTGTGTGTGTGTGGGTGTGTGTGTGTGTGTGTGTATGTGATGTTTGTGCCTGGGATGATTTTAGGAAATTAAGTTATTTTCCTAAAAAAAAAAAAAGAATTCAGAAACTACTTTCCTCTGTGACAACCAAAAAGAAAAGTCTATAACCTGAAAATGTTTCATGTTCTCAGCTGTGAAACTCTTAAAACGAGGAGTGTATTTTAGAGATAATGGGGGGGGGAAAACCACACCTGCTATCCAAAGATTTTAGTCTTTTTCAGGGTTTTTGTGTGTCTCTGTTGCTTTATATAATGCAATATTTTGTAGTGAAAATAGATATAATCTGGTTTCTATCTGACGAGTTTTTCATATCTCATGAATGGTGCGCTGTTTTGCATACAAATAAAGGTATCAAGTAAAGCCCTCGCCTTTATTTTTAAGCATACTGTCAAAAAAAAAAAAAAAAGATGAGCATGCTGGCTGAGCATGAACTACTTAACAGACTCAATTCCTCAGGAAGGAACTATGAAAGAAAACACAACAAAGCCTTAACATATTTATCACAGGGACATTTGATGCTCTCCTAAACTTGAGCACTCATCAGTCTCTAGCTAGGATGGTGGCACAGACCATGTTTCTCTCCATGAGGAAAGATTATAGGGTTCACGTGAAAACATTACTTGAATCAGAGATTTTTTTGCTCTGAAAGGAAACTCAGTCACTAACCCAACCTCTTCAAATTAGAGCCGGGAACCTGAGGCCCAGGGAGTTCCGGTCCCTGCGCCGTCACATGGCTATGTGAGAAGAAGGCCCTACTACTATGACTCCCAGTCTCATGGCACTTATTAAGAACAAGGTGTCAAACATCTAACCAGGACATGACACCTGCAAACAAGAGAAAAAATTTTAGCCCTGGGCCAACCCTGAGATATGAAGAATGTCATCTACAAAAGCTAATAGTCTAACAATGTGAAATATTCGGTCTACCAGCAGGAGACACGAATAACTTAACCCCTTCCCCGGCAGAAACGTGTATACTCGTTTTCACAAAATGTTCTTTTTCAGTCATCGACGAGTATACTAAGAAAATATGGTAAAAAAATATGGTTTATAGGAAGACGAGTTACAAACTGTTTTCATAACCAGCATCAAAAATACTATATAGAACCAAAATAAAAAAATTAGTCTGAAAAAGAAACGTTTTTAACAAAAAAATTGTTGGGAAGGGGTTAAAAACTACATGCACACATATAGAGAGTTCTATGAAATATGGACTATATCACACACAATCTCTGGTTGCAGAGTGAAAATGCAATTAGGTGGATGCTTGGTTTTGTGCCTATGACATATGGGAATGTGATTGTGAGCGTTTTTTCACGTTCACCCAGGTATCATGTAGGTAGGTTCACAGAAACCTAGTAAGTGAGGCTTCACACTCCTCATGCGCAGGTGCTCAGTAGGGATGCACCAGGGACATGAAACAGGATGGTGCCTTCTTTGGCCTTGTGTCTGGACAGAGCCCTGGTCACGGCTGCTGCGGCTGGTGACGTCAGCCTGCAGACACCTGCTACCTGGAGGCTGAGGGCTTGCAGGTCTTGCCCCTCTAAGCCTGGGAGAGATGCTACTCCCAGTCTTCATAGAACTTCTCTATTCCAGGACAGGAAATGCAGTCTTGCTCCAAAGCCAAGGAAACGAGGGCCTCCTTTTCCTGGTAATGAGCCCAACTTCCAACAGACCGACACAGTTCTGCCACAGACTCTAGGAGGCACCTATTCACTCACCTCCCTAGACGAAGACCCTTGCTCTTGGAGTTGGACATAGGGCACAGACATAGACAAAGATCAAACCCCCTCCAAGCCACACAGCCCGTGTGATCCCAGGATTTCAAACCCAAGGCTGTTGAGCACCTCCAAAGAGACAGGCAGCACTGTGACACTCTGGTAGACCAGAGGGTGACTGACTGATCCCCGCACGTAGCATGGGCTCCGTGTCTACTCAGCCATAGTAAAGGAGTAATGATGCTTCTTTGAACAATGATGATGGGTGATCTTTCAGTCTTCCATTCAGCAAATATTTACTGAGGACCTACTGTGTGCTGGGCATTGTTTGAGATGCTAAAAATAGAGCCCCAGATGAGATAAAGCCTACTGACAACGAAGAGATAAACTTAATTGCAGGTTTTACTAAATGCTGTGAAGATGACAGCTGGGGTGCTGGTAGGGGTTCATTTTAGATAGATCTGCCTACCCAGCAGCCCACAGTCGCTGCCACCTGTTAACCTGTGCTGTGCTCATGCCACCAAAACACCCTGTGCCAATCACTCTCCATCCCCCACTGGCAACACCCTGGTCCCTCCCCCCAGCTTGCTCTCTCCCTATGAAAACCCAGGGCCTCGGTTCCTTCTGCTGCTGCTCTCACCTTCTCCTCTCTGCCCTAGCTGCTCAGCTGGCCAGGGCATTACTGCTCCCCAGAAAACTCTAGCCCCACCTGGCCCAGCTGACAAGGCCACCTGTGCTGGAAATCTCCATGCCCAGAGGCCCACCTGACTTCTGCCACTGCTGGAAACATCCAGAGAAAAGGGGCAAAAGTCCTTAGCAAGAACCCCTTCCCTTGCAGGGAGAGGGAGGGGAGGGGCAGCAGCTGAGAGAGTGTGGGTGGCAGGATGGGTCCAGAAAGGCAGAGCAGGCGGAAGACAGGGCAAGTGGGTCTGAAAGAAATGAGGCTGCAGAGAGGTGGAGGGCTGGGCGGGAAACACCTGTTCCCACGTGAACCCTGTGCGTGGGGCTTCCTCTAGTGACCCTGCCCCATGAACAGGTGTCCCCAGACCACTCTGACCTGGCAAGTACAGAGGTGACCTCTGTGATGCTGAGACTTATCCAGTCCCCACCCCTGCTGTCCACCTCTGGACCTGGCCTCCCACCCGCTGAGGTTTGGGTAGGCAGGAGCCAAGGAGCGGGGGGCATCGACTTGAGTGCACACACAGCGAATAAGGGCGATCTCCTTTATTGTTGGCAGTAGTGGGAATACTGAGAGCAAACACGTATGAGTATGTACTATGTGCTTACTGAGTTACATGCTTTCCATGCATTATCTCATTGAGTTTGCACAACCCAATGAGGTAGGTACTTTTGTCGCCATTTAACATACAGGGAACTTAAGGCTCAGAGAGATTTATAACTTGCCCAGGGTCACGAAGCCACATTTGTGGGTTTATCAAAGTGCCTGTCCTTACACTCTACTGTTTTCATTGGCTCCAGAGGCAGCTGTGCTATGCACAACCCTACCCTTGGCCCCTGCACCCCATTTCTCCACCCAGGTGCTTACAGAAGCTTCAGCTCTGGCCACCCGACTGGGGACACATGCCTGCGCTCTGCTCGCCAGGTCAAGTGCACGAAAGACACTGCAGTCCCTCCCGAGGGACACGGAACTAGCCCGCCACTGTCCACAGCATGACTGTTCACCAGCACACAGGTGGGTCTGGCTCCACGGTCCCCCCACCCACACCCCTTGGCACATGGCGATCGGTCCTCACGCTGCCCCAAGAACCATCTTTGAAACTTAGCATATCATCCCTGCCTGAAAACATTCCCGACTCCTCATTGTCTATAAACACACACACACACACACACACACACACACACACACACACACACTCCAGTTCTTTCTCTGGGCACAGAAATCTTTCAGAATCTTATTCTAGACACCCTCCAGCATCATTTCAGTCTCTCTCCCTGAGTTCCTGACAAATTCCTATTTCCTCACTTCCCTGCAGATGCCTGCTCCTTTACTATTTTTTTAAATTATTTTTTAAATCTTCACCTGAGGATATGTTTATTGATTTTAGAGAGAGAGAGGAAGGGAGAGAGAGAGAAAACATTTATTGGTTCCCTCCCATACATGCCACGACCAGGGATGGAACACACAACCTCGGTATGTGCCCTAACTGGGAATCAAACCTGCAAACTTTCAGTGTATGGGAAGACACTCCAACCAACTGAGACACCCAGCCGGGGTGATGCCTGCTCCTTTATAACCTGTGCCTTCGCACTTGCTGTCCCTCTGCCTAGTATGCTGTCCTCCAGCCTGACATTCTGCCCTGAAATTTCAATTATTCCATTGTCACCCAACACAAATGTAACTGCTTTGCAAAGTTTCCCTCCATTTCTCTGGGTGGTGTTAGCTGCTCTGCTCCAAGTCCCATACAAACATTATTCGGACAGCATTGATCTGCTTCTCCATCCCTGTGTTTGAGACCCAGGAGTCTGGGGCCAGCTCCACCCTATTCTAAGTGTGTGATGCTGAACAAGTTACTGCAGCCTCCGTTTTCAAATGAGTGAGAGGGGATCATATAGGTACCTATCTCAAGTGCTTGCTGTGAGGTTCCCATGGGATAATGTAGAGCAGTGGTTGCCAACTGGTGGTCTGTGGACCACTGGTGGCCAGTGAAGTCTGAAAGGTTGGTGACCGCTGATGTAGAGTGCTGGCCAGAATAGAAAGAATATAACAAGTGCTCAATAAATATGAGCTATTATTATTATTACCTTCGTATTTATTATATGCATAGGAGGAGCCACAAATAATAATGCAGCGATAATTCATTGACATATTAATGATTCGTGGTCTCCGCCAATGGTTTTCATTAGCATGTGACACATTATTAGCTCTACAGAAAGTCAAGCAAATAGTCTTCGGCCTATAAGACAGAACACATTATAGGTAGGTAAGTAGTAATCTGCGGAATAAGCCATAAACACACATCTAAAGTCAGAAAGCCCCTCTCCACTCCACGTGGGAGGCCTGGCCTCTACCTGCTCCTTCTTCACCTTGGTTTTCCCAGAGCACTGAGGCCGGGGACAGGCACGATTGCAGGGTGGTCAGGAGCACTGCCGGGAGCCGGTCCATCCTTGCTGTTTCAAGGGACCTGGCATATATGGCATACTGTTCTTAATATGTCTGGTCACCTTCTTGGCACTATGTGTTTTAACCAAGGTCACCTCTCCGAGAAAGGTTGTTTCCCCAGGTAGGGATTTTCCCCTGAAGTTAGGGAGGGAATAAAACCTCTTAACCCCTTCCCCAGCAGAA